TTCCTCTTGCAGAACCTGGTGTCAGAGAATCTGTCATCAAGATACTGAAAAACACATAACTGCTCTTTTATTGAGTGTGGCAAAGCAGCAAATAGCCCGACTACGCCACCCCAGAGGACGGTTAGAATACCCCCCCCCCGGGGGATAAGTACAACCTGACTTCTTCCTGTTGATCACCCACACAAGTCCAATACACTATACAGCAGACGTGGATTCTCTTGGTCAAATTTATTACACAAATCAGAGGACACCAAATGGAAAATTAACAACACAAAAATTAACAAAATACATATAAATTTATTACAATTTTGTAAACAACCAAATTAATCTTAAATATATTAAAGTTACACAGACCACCGAAACAAAAATAACAAAGAAAAATCACACTACCCGTGCAATGATACACTACAAACCCCCTTTGAATTCTGGCTCTGTATGTCCTACGCAAATGAAACTTGCTCGCCAGAGACAAAGGCTCAGGGGGGTGCTATACACGCCCCCCCCCCCCCCCCCCGCATTTTCCTGTCAGTTGATCTTCTCCTAATATGCTTATCATAAATCTACTCAATAGACCAACATGAATAAACTGTGCGAACTCTGTAAGGTACTAACAACACAGTTTCTTAAATATGAGACAAGTAAAAAGCACCCCCTCCCCTCCGTGCTGCATGTGATATGGCATTTTAAAAATTCAGTAATTATTATGCATTTCGTTACATGTGTTGGTTGCTATAACAGCATTTCGTGATAGAATCAAAGGTGTAGTGGAGACTGCTGTTAGGATCACTCTGTGAAGTTGCTGGGTTGGATTCTAGTCATGTGTATCCCGGAGTGTCGGCCAGAACACCACTTGAGGCTCAAGGATCCTGATGAATCTTTATTCATTCCAGTACAACATCCCCTTTTTTGGGCTCGCGTGACACAGGTGCTGATGTGGGTGCTTGGGGGTGTGTCTGTATGTGTGTGTGGTCTAAAGAAACAAAGGTATGGTAAGTATACACTCAGCAACTACCAATAACAAGGTCAGCTTACAACCATACATGAACACCGCGATCTCTCCATTCGCGTATAATTGAATCTGCATACTAAGGTTAATTATACAAGCACAGCACTGCGTTCTATAATGTGCCCCGCAATATAATCACAATCTCTCCTTACCTTAACATTAACAGTGAGAATATACACGAACTCACGTTTAACATACAATACTTCACAGCGCGAAAGAAGCGAACGCGCATTTACAGATCACTTCACGGATAATAGAACAATTGCATAGAAATAAATATAACTAGTCGTATACTGAAGGCGCAAACATAAAGATTAATATTAATTTGGTTATCTTACCTTTTGTTCATTTACGCACACGAACAATGGATTAGCACCCGCAGTTAGCCCCGCTACTAACCTTTACTGTTACTGAACAGAAATAATAAATGGAGACGGCAACTAAGTTCGCGCCATGCGTGCCCACGTGCTACCATGGAAACAATAAACTAATGGCTGCTCCCATGTAACATTATAAATGAATTAGCGAAATCAACAAAATAAGAATTTCTATTACTGAATACTTAACAGTCGAGGGCCTTTTGTACAAAAGGAGAGAATTGAAATGAATTTCCTGCCAGATTAGCCGTCATAAAGACAAACATCTTTTTTGTTTATATATCTTTGTTATATATCTTTAGATTTAACTGTATTTGACTCTCCCTGCCGGCCCCTGGAGGATGGGCTCCCCCTTTGAGTCTGGTCCCTCCCAAGGTTTCTTCCTTCTGGGGAGTTTTTCCTTGCCACTGTCGCCTATGGCTTACTCACTGGGGGCTTTGGGTGGGGATGCTGTAAAGCGCTTTGGGACAATGTAATGTTGTGATAATGCGCTATACAAAAATAAATTTGTTGTTGTTGTTGTTGTTTAGGTATTTCAGATCACTGTACTAGAACATTCTCTTCATTGTGGAGAAAAATACATTACTAAATATGTATAAGGAATGATGTTGTGTAATTTTCTTTGGTAATTAAAGCCAAGGACTTCCTTGTTCATAAACTAGTAAACTAATGACGAGACAAATAAATAGCCTAATAATAGTTCACGTTCGGCGCTCATCGTTTACATGTCACAGTTTATCAGTTTTATATGGGTTAAATGCAGTCTTCGTGAAGAGAAACAGTGATAAAGGTCTTCTAAATGTGCAAACGCAGTGTAATATTTCTGTTGCACATTTAGATTGACGGAACTCATTGACGGAACTTTACTTCAAATCGAAGTAAAGACCATTTCACAGCAGGGATGCAAAATTTGGCACAACACCTGTTCGCGAACCGTGTTTCGGACTGCGGACACACAAACATCCCCCAAAAGGGTCCATTGAAAGCGCCCCAAAGAACCACCCGAAACACGAAGAAGTGTATACATTATGCCCAAGATCGGTTGTGGAATGTATAAAAAAACTTGTTATCGATGTATGTCTTTACTATATATCTTAAGAGGTCGAATATCTGAAAAAATAGAGAGAGAACGTTCTGTTACCTGGTACCTTTCAGTGATTGATAAACATGTCTGTGATGGTATTTAACAGTCACATATCTATACATAAATGACAGTACTTCATTAATAACATAAATTATTAAGTAACTACTATTTAAGTGTTATTTAAGAGGCATTTTTGTGTGGACAGCAAAGTAAGAATTTCATTGCACAGAGAAATTCACTTTTATACTCTACATATGACAATAAACGCTTAATTGAATCCTGAAGATTATCCATTCATGAAATGTACATAAAAAAGTTTAGGCATATGAAAATAATTTACAGAATAATAACAAAAATCACATTTTCGAAATTACTGTATTGTTTATGACTGTTACTCAGTCTTTTAATGTTAATTGTTTAGTTTTTTAGAGAGGATGTTTTGTGGTTCTTTCCCGTGTTTTGGCGTCTTTCGAGCGACCAGCCCGCCAACGAGCGTATGTTCAGTTGTGTATTGGTCCGCCTTCCGTAAACGTATTATTTTGATGAAAGGAAGGATCCAGAGAGAATGCGAGCTATTCTGCGTATGATATGGGTGTGCTCAGTCACTTGTGTCTTTAATGGAAGGATCCAGAGAGAATATTTGCTATTCTGCGTGAGTTATATGGGTGTGCTCAGTCGCTTGTGTCTTTAAAGGAAGGATCTAGAGAATATTTTTGCTATTCTGCGTGAGTTGTATGGGTGTGATTCCCGTAAAGACGCATGTGACTGAACACACCCATGCAGAATATCAAAAAATTCTCTCTTGATCCTTCCTTTCATCAATGGACTGATGTTTGATCTCCTCCCTTGCTTCTCCTCCTAAATGGTCAAACAGAAAGAATGCCTGGTGGGCCGGGGAAAGGTAACAAGCCCTCCTATAGGTTTGCACTTTGTCCTCCTACTCATATCTAAACTAGTCATATTGTACTTACCCCCCCCGCCCCCCTCCCCGGGGATAAGTACTATATGACTACTTCCAGTTGGTCACCCACACAAAAATAGTTGTAATTGGATCTCTTTTTATTTGGCGACTTCTGCTCACGGAGGGTGGAGGGGGGGGGGGTTATTCTAACCATCTGGGGTGGCGTAGTCTGGCGATTTGGGGGGGGGGACGGACGACGACGACATAGTGCCCCCCCCCCCTTGCTGCTTTGCCACATGAGATGGTCCAGGCAGTTTCAGAGAGTAATGTTGCACCTTGATCTTTACTCACTGAGATGTCTCTGCATTTTCTGTATCTTTTCACAATATTGTGAACCATAGATGTTGCAAGACCTAAATTCTCTGTAATATAGCATCGAGGAATGTTTCTTTTGAACTAACAATTCTCTCATGAATTTTGGCACAAAGGGATGAGCCACGACCCATCCTTGCTTGCAAACACTGAGCCTTTAATGGAGATTACTTTTATACCCGATCATGATACCTCACCTGCTACCAGTTAGCCTACTTAATGTGGAGTCTTCCAAACTGGTGTTACTGGAATATTCTGAACACTTTTCAGTCCTATTTTATCTGTCCCAACTTTTGTAGAGTATGTTGCAGCCATCAAATTCTAACATTGCATATTTTTAGAAAATATAATTAAGTTGGTCAGTGAAACTGTTGAAAATCTTTTCTTCGTACTTTTGCCAGTTAAAGAAAGGTTCATGTGAATTTTTGTTTTTATTGCATTTAAGAAGCTATTCTGCAAATAGGGTTTGTAATACAGATAAAGTGTTTGAGAAATTTTTAATCTAGTTTAACAATGTATGTGTTTTGAAAATATCTGTGAAATATTGGTGGGGGCTATGACCTGCATTCCACTACACTTTAACACTACCAGAAGTCACCAGTCTAATTATACAACAGCCTATTTACATGAACAAAAATAAGCATTTCATTCTCTTTAAAACTTCAGTTGTAATCTGAATACTTGTCCTCATATAGTATATGTAACTGGTTTATATGCGTTGTGTTAATTTTCTATTACACATTCTGACGCCATCATGATTTTGTGTAATAATACACATTAAACAAAAACAATCCTGTTACATATATATAGTAGCAAATAAAAAAGTAAAACATATTCGGTAAATCGGCATATATTTGTGCAAGGTGTGTGGTAGAAGGCACAGCTGCCCGAATAACGTGTGGTGATGCTGTGCCAACAGTAGCTGCTGCAACTCAGTAAAGGCCAATGAAGTTAGGAAAGGCTGAGAAAAATGAATAACAGAAGACGTGAGATGAGGCGTCGACAGGAGAGGAGACTCTCTTTCCAAAAAACGGGGACACCTCTGTTATTTGGAACTGGTTCAGCTTCAAATCCGACTTGAAGCAAACATATCACTGTCCAGACATGCCAGATATATTTTAGATATACTGCCCACTCCCACTGAGGAATCTTTCCCCTAGTACCTCACAAGGCTTACAGGCAGGTCATCTGTGTCTTTGTTTTCGGTGAAGCTCTACATCTGCTGTGTTCCTTCTCTTCTGCTCTTGGCACCTCAGTTGCTGAAGCTGAACTAGAAACGGAAGAATGGAAGTCTAGGTGAGAAGATGGAGAAAGTTTTGATGGCATATGAGGAACAGGTGGTGTGTGTGTGTGTGTGTGTGTGTGTGTGTGTGTGTGCTCTAATATCTGCTATACATGTCTTGTCTGTGCTACAGGACAAGAATGACAACAATGCAGCCAGAGGTCTTCAACACCTGCAAGGAATTTCTGCATTGGTCATTTTCCGATTTCGGGCCGGTTTCCCAGACAGAGATTAAAGATAGTCCTAGATTTAAACAGCCTTTTAATGCAGACTAACAGAAATCTGCTTTCTCAGTCAAGGTATAAAACAATACTAGACTAAGCCTATTCCTGAATAAACTAAGCTTGTTTCCTGAAGGAAGATTAGACCTAGTCCAGGAACAAATTGATGTTTAAATTAAACCTCCCAGCAGGCAGGTTTAACTTCGGATTGATGTTGTTTGCTGAAGAAGACACATGGATTACTTAGAGTATGTCAATGATGATCAACGCATACCACCTGCCAGACAAATTCTTGTTGACAGAAGTAACCCACTGCAATTTTTTGATGAAATCAGTTTTCGAAGTAAATGCCAGGCAGACCATTTCTCTTTTGGAACCCCGTCTTTCATCTGTGACCCAAAGAGGACGGCATGATCCAGTTAGTCTGCAGGTGCTCATTACTTTACGTTTTTTGGCGTGAGGCACCTTTCACAGAGAAACTGGGGATTTATGTGGAGTCAGTGAACCAACAGTGTGTAAAGTTGTTCACAGAGTATGCAAGGCCAGTCGCGTATTGAGGAGACGGTACATAAAATTACCAGATGCTGCAACGCAAGTTAATTACAAGGTACAATTTTATGAATATAGGAACTTTCCGGGAGTCACAGGCTGCATCGACGGAACCCAAATTCCAATAGAACGTCCCTCTACTCCAGATGCTGAGGAATGCAGGAATCGCAAGAACTGGTTTTCCATTAATGTCCAAGGTGTATGCACTCCCCAGTTACAGTTTTCGAACATTGTTGGAAAGGTGCTGCATATGATTCCCGGATTTTACGTAACCCATCACTGTTTGCTCGGTTTGAAAGAGAAGATCATAATGGAATATTGCTTGGTGACAGTGGGTATGCTCAAGGGAATTTTTTGTTACATCCAATTACACCTGAGCAAAGGTGAGCCACACCAGTTCTCAGGTAAATACCAGGAGCAGGTGTGGCTCATCAGAAGCCAAGTAGGACAGAAAACCTACTGGATAGTAGCTCTCCAGGACCTGAGTTGGAGACCCCTGGTCTAGGTGTTAGTAATCTCTAATTAGTCTGTGTTTCAGAAAGCGGTTTATTAGGAACTGATTAACAATTCTAGATTAAGGCCAACTCTCAGCATAATTTAAACCCTCTGAGAAACCACCCCATAATGTAATAAGTTAATCCCTAACAAATGCCCAAGATCGCAGTTAGTTCTTTTTTGTTGCCTTTATTAGCTTAATGATTTGTTCAATTATTCTCACACGTGTATAATATCTATTTCCTTTTCAGGACGAGATGGAGGCAAACCGTGAGAGGACAGTGGTTCTCGTGGCTGTGGTCAGTTCAGGCGACGTTCCTCAGGGGAATTCCCTATGACACACGCCATGTGTCAGTCACCCTTGAGGATCAGGTTGGAATGTCCCGCAGATTTTGGAGCGACGTAGGTTTAGTTTCAGCACTGGCAGGGATGAAATGAGTCTGGAACCCCCCTCCCTCTAAACGCACATGTCACTCCCATGATATTGGTACGGACGTGTCCCTCTTGTCCATAAGCAAATCTATGCCCTTGGTCTGCGTGTTCTTCTAAATCCATCATCTGGAGCTAAGTAGATGGACATTATGCTGTCAGGACCACAATGTAATTAACCGTAAACAAACCACTAATCGACGGTCAGAAAAGCAACTCCAGTACTGAACAGAGTTTTAACATGCTTGTCAATTCACAGCCCCACCTTTAAGGACAGGTAAGTAATTGTTAAGGTTGACTGATTTATAATCACATGCAACTGATGTGGGAGAGCCTGTACGTGTTCCAGCTTGAGCTAGACGAGGTCACAGTGCCACACCCACGGTGGGACAGGCCCAAGTGGGGCTGAGAGCTGGGGAGGGGATTTGAGCGAGCAGTCTGGCTCCGCCCCCGCATTGCCAAGCTCAAGTGTCAGAACTCGCGTGCCCAGTTCCCGAGGGGGGAGAAGCAGAAGAGGACAGCCACACAGGGGGCTGCGAGAGGGAAGGAGATCAAAGTGAAGAAGGGAGAAGAAGGAGAGAGAGGAAAGCTGGATGGTGTGAGTGAAAAGACGAAGAGAGCAATACGAGGAGAGAAATAGACTGGAAGATGGACGAGGTTATGAGCCCTGGTGTAGATGTGCAATGTGATGTGGAGATGGTCACAGGGTCTGATCCTGACCCAGAAATGGACCCAGAGCCGGAGTGGGTTCCAGGAGGCCGGCGCCTGTTCTCTGGTCTGCTAGGACTGAATGTGATTATGCTCGGCGCTGCCCTTATGGCGGCTGATGCCTACTATGCCAATGGGCAGCTACAACAGGGACGCCAGGTGTTCATCCTGCTTCTGCTGCTGCTCAGTGTGGTCTGGATGCTCTGGTACCTGCTGTGGTCACGCAAGCGACCCGGCCGCACTCCCCATACCGACCACCACGCAGGGGGTATCACCATCACAGGTAAGCCGGGGCGTTTTAAACCTCAGTGACGCCCTTTCCTCTAATCAGCCTCACAGCGGAGTCTCAGCCAAATACCCTGCAGCCTCCTACAGAGCTGAAGTCCAACAGCAAATCTCCACCTTCCTCACACGCCTGTAAAACAAAGTCACTGGTAAATGACTCAGAGAAAGCTGAAGTGTTTGTGCAGTCATTGTGTTACACACGTGCAAGCTGATTAAAAGGCTTCCGTTTAGGACAGAATAGAGTAGAATATTTTTATCATCATCGTTCAGTGCGCAAAGAAAATCTATGTGGCACTCCAGTAACGACGTACAAGAAAAAAAAAAATATATATGATAAATAAAGATATAAAGGATATATATATATATATATATGTGTATGTATGTATGTATGTGTGTGTGTGTATATATATATATATATATATATATAAAAACGTAAACGTATATCCCCGGCTGACCCCGCCCCCCAGTGGTCCTGGTGATCTTCTCGGCCTTCAGCCTGTTCCTGCACATCTTCAGGATGGGTTATTTCATCATGATGTGGGACTGCAAGCCGCTGGCCGAGGTCCTGGTTCCCTTTGCTGAGGCGCCCTTCCTGGCACTGCAGGTAGGATGGCGTCAGCCCAACCTGCTTGGCACTAAGTAGACATGTCAGCCCCGAACCAACGTCAGGATCCGTCTGGCCACCTGCTGGGGCCTGCCTGCTGTCGTCAGCAGGAACTTAACCTCTCTGGGATGTGCAACACGTGCATAAGGTCAGGATGCAGGAAAAACTTCTGCATTTTTGCATTGATCTAAAAATAAATAATTATTTTAACAATCATATTTCATTGTAATATTACATTTTCTGTATCCCCATTAGACATGACAAAATAGTCAAAATAACTAAATGCTTTATACAGTATGTGAAAATATATGCAGATAATGTGCAGAAGTTAATAGCTGCCACCATTTCTGTATGGCGATGTGCATTTTTAAATGTTCATTAAGTGTATCAGTGCTGATGATGTGGTTTGGTCGATCACATGACATGAATGCTGTGGTCATATGACTTTGTAGAAATTGTGTGCAAGCTGTTTAGCATTAGCTTTGTCACTGTCCTGATGATGTTTCCCTCTGTGCAGACATATTTCCTGTGGGCTCACTCAAAGGACTGCATCCACAAGCATAAGATTCTGACCAGGTCCACAATGTTCCCGTAAACTACAGTAATTATTTAGCTGCTTATCTCTCCTCGCAGTGTGACACATGTGTGGGTCTCGCAGGTCCGGTCTGATGCTATTGCTCTCTGCTAACATCCTGCTGTGGCTGAATGCGGTGACTGAGGACACTGTGCACATGGAGATCGAGCTGGAGAAGCAGAACCAGGTCATTGCCAATGGCTCCCTGGTTGACAACAGCACTGCAGGTCTGGAGTATGGTATGGGGTCTAATGGCAGAACCACAGCCAGGTCTAACTGCTCAGCAGGTCATTGTTACTGCATGTCCACTACGCAATGCCAGGACATCATCTCAGATGCAGATTTTGGCAAAACACCTGCTCTTTGAAAAATCACTGCTATACACAGACATATATTTTCTTAGTTGTGACTTTGCCTGATAGCAGGTTTTACAAAAACAGGATTATACATTTCATACAGGTTTAACAAAGGTTACCTGCTTACTGAAGCAGTTTCTGTTGACAGCAAGCATCCATTATTAACTGTATTTGAAACAACATACTTGGCTTGTGACTTTTACACTAAATTCACTTATTCAGTTCAATATTAAGCAAACTAGGCACCTTACTCAGATTTAAACTTGCAAACTACTGGTGTCAGGTTTCTTTCTGGAACTTCTTGAATTACAGCACTGTCTGTGTCTGCTTTCAGATCCCGACGAATCCCCCGAATGTCAGTGCACCGACCACACGCCGTGCCTGGTGTTCCGCAAGGGCTTCGAGATCCTATACCCCTTCAACATCGAGTTCTACCTGATGGCGGGTTGCATGATCTATGTGATGTGGAAGAACGTGGGCCGGCGTGTGGGCAAAGCCCCACACGAGCACCACAAACACCATGACGTGATGCGCATCATCCGGAAGGAAGGCATCCTGCTGGGCCCACTGGCCGGCCTCCTGGTCCTCGCGATGGGAGCCGTCTCCTTCATCCTGTACCAGGTGTGGGTGAGTGACGCTCGCCGCGAAGACGCCTTCCTCGTCTTCTACGGCTACCACCTGGCCTTGATTCCCGCCATGTCGCTGTTCTGCCTGGCTGGCATGATCACGTACCGCGTGGAGATTAGGCTGCATGAAACCAGCCACAACCCCACCAGAAGCCTGGATGTTCGCCTGCTTGTGGCGGCGGCCGTGGGCCAGCTGGCGCTCTCCTACTTCTCCCTGGTGGCCGCCATGGCCATTGGGTCCAGAGACCATCTGGGGAGCCTAGACCTTTCGTACAACCTCTTCAGCCTGCTGGAGCTGCTCCTGCAGAACATCTTCATCATTGAGGGGCTCCACCGTCACCCGAGTCTAAACTGCACCAGGACAAAGGGAAGGCTGGCCGGCGTCATTTTCAAGGCCAGTACCTTTGATTATACTCATGGATTACAGGGGATTTACACTTGAGGTGGATTAGAGTAATGCAGTGTTGTGTGAGTGTAGTACCATTCAAAGGTCATGTGGCACCCTAGGCAAGCTTCACTGCCAGCGCCCCCTGTCTGAAATTATCGGCACATACAACTATTTTACAATTATAAGTAGGCACAATATCACATTGTGATTATATGGCGTGTGCACAATTATCACCAGGATTGTAAACGATGGCCGTAAATATTTGTCCAGACGCCGGAACTATATGGAGATTTACTTTGGTAAGCAGATTAGCAGTATGCCTAAAATATTAATGAGAGCATGTTTAATAAACTTGTCAGACTTTAAACTGCAAAAAGCATCGCCACACCTCTGATGCCTTTTCTTACCTTATCTGTGATATCTCCTCCTTTAAAAGATGTTCCGGCTGCTAATCTGTCCCGTTCTTCACCATCACTTCAGTGCTTATCACTTCCATGATTTACCGAAACAGTAGTATGTGGCTCCGCTAACTGAATTTATTAAACATAAAGATACGCCAAATTTATACAGTTCACTAATGTTTGGACGTCACAGTATGCTTCAGGGCGGCTAAGTAAATGCTCACTGAAATGCCGGCGTCCGGACAAATGTTTACGCCTGTCATCTGAAGCCCTGGTGATTATTGCACATGCGATTATATTGCAGTGTGATATAGAAACAACTCTTCAGAGCAGACGTGAAAACTTTCACTTTTTGGAGCAATTCTCAGATATTTTCAAACCTTGTCGCGTTTGCTTTGACTGAATTGTTACTCAGTGGATAGAAAGCATCCACTTATAGCCCCAGTAATCATCTGATCCAAAAACAGAAAAAGAAGGCGACTGAGACCCCAGTGGCGAATGAACCTGAAGGAGACAATGTGTCTAGAAATGAGCCTACAGCACCACCTGCAGGTGTGAAAGTGAACAAGACGAACAAGTGCACCAAGAGAGCGATTCAAGAGATTTGTGCATTCCTCATCTTGGGCAATGTCATGGTGAGTGACTCCGTGGGACAAGGGATGATGGAATAAGTAGAAGATAGAAATGCATAAATAAATACCAAATTGTCTATATACATTCCTGAACAATTTCCATGGGAATGTTCGTCCTCCGATGAGCTGCAGTCAGGTTGGGCCAATTGAAATTGTAGGGTATTTAGACAGAACATAAGCTCAAACCACTTCCTTATCTGAACAAACATGGCTATGTGCTTATTGAAACGTTTGCTTTCAGGACACTAGGTGGCGCCATTGTCACATTCATTCTGTGTTTCCACCACTGATGCACAGATGTGCTATCAGTTGGTGTTGAGTTTCGCCTAGTGCATGTATAAGACAGACTTGCATTGAAATCTGGATGCCCAACATGACGAGGTGACCCTTTCTCCTTTTCCATCCCTCTCCCTGCTCCATATCTCCACCTCTCGCTGCAGTTGTGGGTGATCCCAGCCTTCGGCGCTCATCCCCAATTTGAAAACGGACTGGGGAAGCAATTCTATGGGTTCCAGGCCTGGTTTATATTTGTCAACCTGGCCCAGCCACTGGTGGTCTTCTACAGAATGCACTCTGTAAGGGCACTGATGGGGCTGCTGATTTCAGCCTGAACAGCAGGAGGCGATAGAGGCCATACTACTGCACTGGAGGATGTGAATCTTTTGGATCTGTAGGATGAAGCCTTGCTATCCAGCCTAAGATTCACGGGGAAGAAGAAATAAGACTTTTTCTTAAGGGAATCAAATAAGTCGAAACAAAACATTTGCAGTTATACAAATGTTGCATTTGATACCCACTGTTAATTAGGAAAAAAAAATCACTAAGTTGAACATATACACATTTAGTTCAGGACTTAGTATTATGTAATCCAATTGTTAATGAAACAGTTATAATTGTATTTAGCATCGCATTGATACTGGCCCTTTTATAGGAGATAGACTGAACTGACCCTGGACACCAGAGACCAAACGTCAGTCAGGGGTTCAGATACTGATGGACAAAATGACGCTTCCTGAACCATTTGCTATATTTCTTGACCCCACTAGATGGTGCTATCTGTTCAAAAAAGGGCACAAAGCATGGGCCCAAAGCCAGAGCCATAGTGGGGTTGGAAAATACAGCAAATGGTTCGTGAGGCATCGTTGTGTCCAACGCTACCCGATATGCTCTGATATTCACTCGCCTTTGACAAGCAGCCCAAGGTCACCATCTAGTAGGGTCAAAAACAATACAGCAAATTCATGGTCACTTCGTCCATCACTAGGCTGAACCACGCATGAATAATTTGGATCCGAGCTGGTATGAATCCCAGCATGTATGAGAGGCAGGAGCCCTACGGTGGAACCCCGGCGTAAGTCTTCTGTGTAGATGTCCACGTTCTTGCACTCAAATTGGCTAATTAGCTAACTGGCTAATTTTACTTATGTTCTGTATTTCCTTTGAATGCATGCATGAATACTGCCATGAAAGATCCCAAGGACATGTTGGTGCCTGACCAATGAAGTGAGTTCTGATACTGAAGAACATAATGATAGTGGCCAAGGTATTTAATAATGGTTGTGCGAGTTTCGCTTCAGAGAAGCCGGAACTGGAGCAATTTTATCGGCCAATTTTACATCAGTATGAAAGTGACTTTCTTTGGAATCACAGGTCTTGTTCTGTGACCCTAACCCTCCTCCTGTCAGTCAGAAAATTCACTGCACAGATTAATCAGCCTTTGTTATGATCAGCTGTTCTCTTGTTAATAAAACGATGCTTAATGTGCAGCTCTACTTCTTAGTTAAAAAGCCCCCCACCCTTGCAAGAGTGTTCCGTAATTCATTTATAAACGGTTTATTTTATAATATACTCTACATATCTTTCAGACAGAAAAATACTCATTCAAACAGAAAACACAAATTATATCTCATTCCGTATACATACATATATATTAGACTGTATGAGCCACACTGATATACTGCCATTATAACATCACAAAGCAACACACTGGTCTGACATCAGGGGAGACACCCCCCACTCCCCTCCGATGACAGACGCCCCCACCCATCCCCGACTGGGACAGTCACGTGCCTTCACTTCCCAGCCACAGAAACTCACTTCCATTGGACCCTGTAGTAATACTGGATGCCCTTCAAACAGCATCCACAGGATCCGTCGTGAGAAAGCCCAGCTTTCACACGACTTCCTTCCGTCTTGGTACCTTTTGTCGTCCATAAACAGACTTGTTTTATTTAGCGGGATAAAAAAGAAAAGCCAAAGTCACAGGAAAATGAAAGAGGGAAGAAACACCGATAAATGCGGCAGCCGGGGTGTTTTTCATTACCTGTCAGGATATTTAACCCCCGAATTGGTGGTAAGTGACCATTTTTGGTTATACAAGAAAACCGCATGCATCTGGTTTGACAGGATATTTCAGCAATGCCATGTAACTAGCGCCCTGGAGTGGGGGAGGGCGATTCCCACAGGCTGTGCAGACAGACTGGCAAAAATTATTATTTATATTTAAAAAAAAAAAAAAAAAAAAAAAA